GGAAGAAGGAGGAGGAAGAGGGTCTGGGCCATGGTGCATGCGGGACGAGCCTCCGGAGACCCTGAGGGATAGGTAAACCCGGCGCGCAGCCGGCGGGACGCTCGGCCCACCGGATCTGGAGCGCATCGGCTGCCGGTTGGCCTTGTGCTTTAAGGGCCCGCCTTGGCCTGGGCGCCCCGGCCCGCCTGCCCCAACCCCAGCTGCAAGCTGGGGGTCGGCCTCCTCTGCGGACCCCGCAGCGCGGTGGCGGGAGCTGCGGGTGCGGGTGCGGGCGGCCCGGCTCGCCACGCGCGCAGCGTTCGCTCACTGGCGTGTGAAGTGGCTCAAACTTTACTCACTCGTGTCCCAGCCTCCCGATCCGTCTGTGTTGCTTCCTGGGTGGTGGTCTTTAAATTGTCTAACTTCAAACCTGACAAAAAAAAAAAAAAAAAAAACCAGAGCCCTTCATTAGGTGCCGCCTATTAGCGTCGTCCTAAGCGGTGTCCGAGGGATGTTGAATCTGATGTACTGATTATCTTCCTTCTAAATAAACTGCAACGTAAATCCTTAGATCTTACAAACGAAAAAGTTTGTGTACCCTGCGAAACCGACCTGTGTGGCACGCGTGGGAAGCACAGCACTGAGTGAATTATTACGTAAGGCCTGGGGATCTGCTTTTAACGATTGAATTCAACAGTGTTTCCTGAGTACCAGCTATGGGCCAGGCGCTGTGCTAGGCACTTGTGAAGAGGCCAGGGTTAAAACGAATCAGAAGACTGGCCCTGCAGGACCTCAGAGTCTAAGAGGAGAAGACAACTGTATAATGAACTGCAAATACAGGGAAGAAGTGTTGCTGTGTTTTATTCCAGCAAGGTGGCTTGTTAGGATAGAAAACACGGGGACCAACTGCTTACAGCTCAATGGTTTGCAGAGCTGGCACAAAGCAAGATAGTGCAGCATGCCTGGGTTTAAGATGGACAAGTTGATTTTGGAGAACAAAAATGTATGATAGTAAATTAGATGCTGCTAAAATGTAAAAACGGGACATAAAAGCCAATAACAGGTCATGTAATTTAAATAAAATTCCATTGAATGTACAAGAGGCCATTGTTGACCTGCATTGAATTCTGGAGCAAAGGCTAGAAGTCCTTACCTGAATCCTAACATGTTACCAAAATACTGTAGTCACAAGATGATGCGTAAGCCACATGTGCCCTGAGAACCTAAGCACAACATTATTAAAGATAATGTTAGCAGAATTTCAGAGGACTTTTGGATGATAGGTTAAGTTGATGCCTTTGGTTTTGGAGTGTTGATGGATTCCCAGTCAGTAATCTTGGTCTTCTTTCATTTCCCCCCAAGGAGAAGCATACTTAAAAAAATAGAAAAAATAAATTATCCACCCACTGATTCTGATTAACAAGGGAAGTAGTTTTGTGGAGTTGACCTAGCCTTTTGTTTTCTTAGCTGAATAAGTGTTTGGAAAAATCTAATCTACCCTAAATTGGAGGAGAAATCTGCTTTCATTCTAGTCTGATATGTGTTATATATTAACATATTATGTTTTATTTTTCCACTGAATTTTATTAGGTGCTGGAAAGGGACTCCGAATACTAGATTGGTGATTGATTTATCTCAGTTAAACTGCCAACTTCTTGAGGGCTGTGTGGTGTTTTGGGAGCCCTGGCAGCATTCTGTGTTATTTAGAATGCCATCCGTGGTGGTTGAGGGAGAGAATATCAAGATATTGATGCTAAAAAGAAATCGCTGGTGTTTACCCCTCCTCCTCCCTAGATTTAGAAGACAGATTTGAAATATTAGACATTGCCTTCCCTTGAGGAAACAGATTTGATGTACTGGGCTTCAACAAAAAAGTGGTACCTCAAGGAGTGTATTTATTTCTTTTAGATACCCCATGTTTTCCCATCACCCGAGGAGTCTGGGCAGAGACTGGACTACACCGTGGGAGAATCTGCAGAGGTGTTGCTGGAACAGACATATTTCTAGTTGTATGAGGTGGCCTGGACATTATTCTCGTGCTCCTTACCCATACTTCAGTAGTAGGCACTTTTCACTAAATTGGAGGCCACCCTGTTTGTCGGAGTCTAGAACTCCGTTTCAGTACTGTAGCTGGAGACCTGACAGCCTCAGCCAGACGTCTCTGATCCATCTCTCTAGTTACGTCATGAACTCTGAGGGAGATGAGCCTTCGTCAAAACGAAGAAAGCACCAAGGTAAAGGTGACATTTATCTTGGTGTAGATGTAGACATAAGTGACAGTTTCAGTTGAAGCTTTCATATCTAATCTTTGATAACCTCTTGCAGGTTTTAGAGGTGTTTATTTGGAGACAGTAGTTTTCTGGTAGGGAAAAAAAATCCATTACTGTAAAATGAAATCCTTATTTTGAGCTTCCATTAATTGTAGATTTCTGGCTGTAAACGTGGAAGTGACTGTAGGTAGAATAAGGTTGGAAAAGAATGAAGACGTAGATTAGTAATCATAGTTTAAGGATAAATTTTAGTGGCAGCGTTTTTGAAACAGATCCATAGACTTAGAAACTGGTAACTGTACTGTTGAAAGTCCACAGATCTAAAAAGAAATTAATTTTGTTTTCATTTTTAAGGCTTAACATTTTTGCATATGACCAAAGGACTCTTAAGTAGCAAAAGTCATAAATTAAAGATATTGGCTTACAGAGTAAGATTTTTATTAAATCTGTATTTCTCAAATTTGGGTCTATGGATGAAGTTTTAAGAGTCTGTTTGAAGTATGAGGGTATTTCCAAAACTTCCTTGAGGAAATAGTTAAAAGATAAGTTGGGCCAGGTGTTTGGCCACCGTTTGGGAAGCCCATATCCCCCATATCTTAGTTCCTGGGTTTGAACCCAGCTTCACTCTCCATTCTAGCTCCCTGCTGATGCACACCCCAGGAGGTAGGAGATGATGGATCAAGTTCTTGGGTTCTTGCTGCTCATGGGGGAGACCTGATTTGAGTTCCAGGCTCCTGGTTTTGGCCTGCCCCAATCCTGGCTGCTGCAGGCATTTGAAAGCTAAGCCAGCGACTGGGAGGGCTCTCTTTGTCTCTCTTTCTCTCTTCACCTTTCAAATAAATCATAGAAACACTATTAAAAAGTTTATTTCAGTGCCAATTTTTGAAATCCTTGTAATTTTGTTCATAATAGACATTTTCCATGAATTTTTGGAAGAACCTATATATTATCTTTTAGAATGGGTACCACATCTTAATAACTTTGAGAAAGTTTTTTTTCTTAAAATGCAGATTCCTTTTATTTTTCTCATTCTTTTTACTATAAAGAATTCACTAGACTCCTGTGCCTCTAGCCCTGCACCCACTCCGCCCCCTGAAAATATGAGGTATCTGAGTAGAACTTGGAATTGTCCTTCTTAACGAACTGTAGTTTTTGGTGAAGTTGGTTCCTCTGAAGGTTCTTGAGAATAGACCATGTGAGTATATTATGTAGAGGACTGGCATACACGTTTGTCAAGGGAAGACATTCAGAGTGATTTCTACCTGTACATCAGTGCCAGAGTGCATTAGAGATCTTCAGGTTTCTTTGTCTTGGTTGGCAGGAAGTAGTACCTAGGTTTCAGCTGGGTTCCAGGGATAGTTACTCAACTAATGTTCACACAGCATCCTCTTGCTACCCAGTTACAAAGTTAGTTACCTAGTTAGAAAAAAACATATAATAAGTAGAAAGTCTAAGTATACAAAAGTGAAAATCTGTTTTTGTAGTACTTAACTGCAGCATGTGGAGATAAACAAGAAATATGTGTTTGAATGAATGAAAGGTGTGTTTGGGAGCATTTAAAAGTAGGTTCCTGAGGACAGTCCGTGGTCTGTAAATACAGGGCTGCCAGCGACATCAGATTGCTTTTCATTCGTGTGTTTGTTGCTCATCAGGCCAGCACACTCCTCTTTTGTTTAATCCCTCATGAGTCAGGTGTGTTCTTAGATAGAGCTTTGGTGTTGTGACACCACTCCCGTCATTTCTGCTCCACCACTGGTTGTGTGAACTTAGGTTGCTTAACCTCTCTATTCCTTGGTTCGTTACCTCATGTAAAATAATGACTACCTTGAAAGTCTGTTGTATAAAATGAGATATGTAAAGTGCCTAACACACTGTTGGCTTCATAGTAGGTACTCAGAAAATTGTGGTGCTGTTGTTTTCCATTTAATGGATGGGGCATTGCATTTACATACTGAAAAGCCTTGATTACAACCTGACTCTTTATATGTCCCTTCTTCCTAGGTATTATGAATAAGGAAAATGCTCTTCGTTAAGCCATATTTGTGACTTCCGATATTTCACTAATTCTTTTCAATCAAGAGAACAGCATTGCTAACTTGCCTATCACTTTAAAGTGGTATTTGAAGGATTTATGTGACACAGTCATGCCATGTTAATTAGGCGCCCTAGAACCCCGTCAGGCCTGTTGCTTACTTTCTTTGATCCATCTGTCTTCTCTGCTGTGATCACCTTGTTCCTCCTGACATGGAAGGTATATAAGCTTTTGGAGTGAATTTGTGTTGTGCAGTATATGAAGGCCAGAGACTGTCCACTCTGTCAGTGGTTTTCAAATTGTCTTCTGTGGAACCCTAGCGCTTGAGCACGTTTCTGTAAGCTTACTAAAAGCAAATGTGATCAGGATAAAATGTGTGTTTACCCCATCATCCAGGCTCCTATACCAACATGCCCAAGATTGGCATTCCATGACGAAAAGTAATGCCAAAGGGTTCTACAAGCTACAAAAGTTTGAAAGCCACTATATCAATCAGATAACCCAGTGGTCCTGGTTATTTAAAAAGTGTAATTACACAAGAGCTGGTTTTCAAACTCTTTTATTACCAGGGCTATACAAATCTTAATGCATTTATGCACTGTTATTATATGTACATATTTTATAAGGAAATATGAATAAGCTTTGGGGCCTTCGTGTTTTGTATTGTAATGTGGCAGTGACACTAGGGTGATGCTCTATTTTCAATGATAGCTTACACTTTGTTTGCATGACTGAGCCCTTTCCATCTGCATTCATGTAGAGACTTTGATGTGTGGCTAAAACCATCATAGACAGTCCCCAACTTATGAATGAACTGTATTCTAAATACTAGATTAGTTTTTCCCCATAGAAATTGTAAATCTCAGTATTTCTGTGTAGCTGGTATAATTAGCTTGGTTCTGAGTCCTCAGGGGTAGCGTTCTTAATGTTCAGTGCAACATAGGGAAGTGATGGTTTCCTTCCCTTTCTTGGGCTTGGGACAGGCTATAAGCAAAAATCTTTAACAGTTGAACACTTTAGGTTGGATTTCTTTCCTTCCTTCATTCTTTCCTTCCTTTCCTCTTTTTTCTTTTCTTTTCTTTCTCTCTCTCTCTATCTCTCTGTCTCCTCTCTCTCTCTCGCTCTCTCTCAGATTTATTTATGTACTAGAGAGGCAGAGTTACAGAGGGAGAGACAGAGAGAGAGGTCTTCGCTCCACTTCCCAAATGACTGCAACGGCCAGAGCTGTACCAATCCAGAGCCAGGAGCTTCCTCTGGGTCTCCCATGTAGGTGCAGGGGCCCAAGGACTTGGGCCATCTTCTACAGCTTTCCCAGGCCATTAGCAGGGAGCTGGATCAAAAGTGGAGCAGCCAGGGCCAGCGCTGTGGCATAATGCAGTGCTGGCATCCCATATGGGTGCAGGTTAGAGTCCCGGCTGCTCCATTTCCATTCCAGCTCGCTGCTATGGCCTGGGAAAGAAGTAGAAGATGGCCCAAGTCCTTGGATCCCTGCACGCGTGTGGGATGCCCAGAGGAAGCTCCTGGCTTCTGGCTTTGCATGGCCACAGCTCTGCCTTTGCGGCCAATTGGGTAGTGGATGGAAGACCTCTCTCTCTCTTTGCCTCTCCTTCTCTCTGTGTGTTTAACTCTGACTTTCAAGTAAATAAATGAATCTTTAAAAGAAAAGTAGAGCAGCTGGGACTCAAACCTGTGCTTATATAGGATGCCGTTGCTGCAGGCGGATGCTGAACCTACCACGCCACAGAGCTGGGCCCCCACCTTTTTTTCTTTATCCTTTTAGTACCTTCATGGTATCTTAAGTCTCTTAACTCCCTCATTCCAGTAGTCACTAGTTGGAAAATTGTCTTATTTTTCTACTCTTTAATCAAAATTTCTATTCCGTTGGTGCTGCTATTACCAACAACTTAGCTGCTAATGAAACTAATTTACCAGAAGAGATTTTGAAATTATTACTTCATTGACACCTTTTTACAGTGTAATTTTGATTGTAAATATATTGTCATTATAGGAGATTTGGAAAACTCTTACACAGTCTACCACTCAGAAATAATTTTCTTAAAAATACTGGTGTGTTTAATTTCTTTTAGTCTCTTCGTTTTACTACATGTTTAAGTATACTGAATATTTTAACCTCAGCTTAATTTATTTTTTAATTTTTTTAAAAAAAAATTTCTTTACTAAGTTGAAAGGTAGAGTTACAGAGAGAAGGAGAAAGAGGGAGAGACAGAGAGATCCTCCATCCGCTAGTTCACTCCCCAAATGGCCACAACAGTTGGGACTGGGCCAAGCCAGGAACCAGGAACTCCATCTGGGTCTGCCATGTGGGTGCAGGGGCCATCTTCTGCTGCCTTCCCAGGTGCATTAGCAGGGAGCTGGATTGGAAGTGAGGCAGCCAGGACATGAACTGGCGCCCGTATGGAATGCTGGCACTGTAGGTGGAGGCTTAAGCTGCTGCACCACAACACCAGCCCCTCAACTGACTAATTTAATTGGTGGAATTTTAGGCAATGTCGTCCAGTGAAGAGAATACCTTCATGCAGAATAGAAGGAGTTATCCTGGGGCCGAGGCTTTTCATGGAATCTCATCATGCTTGGAATCTGTATTCACCTGCTCCTCCTATTTCTTGTTTTCCTCTTCTTTTGAGCTCATACATTCTTGAATAAAAGTTCCACAGAGTTCTCCATGGCTCCCATGGCTTTCAGAGTGATAGGGAGACAAAATCAGAATACGCATGCACACCCTACACACACGCGCACACACCAAAACTGGTGGTCATTTCTAAGTTGAGGACTGCCTATTATTGCAAAATCGCATGCTTTTCAATTCTCTCATCACTTGTGGAGTATGTATGTCTTCTCAGAATATAAACTGTGGCACATTCTTGTTTGTACATTAGGTTTGCCAGCCAGCCCTTGTATTTATGAGCATTCTGTAATTGTCATATTTAACTTATGCTTTGGCGTTCATTACAAAGATTGCTTTTGTTCCTTTTGTTTGCATTTTTCCACTGGAGTGTTTAGACGCAAAATACTGTTTCCATGTACTGTCATTATGTGCCATTCATTCATGTATATACCAGAATTCTGAACTAAGAATCGTTTCTGGAACTTAGTTAATTATTTAGTGACACTGACTATCTTACTAATAAGGAATAAAATACATTGTGGAATCACCTTATTGAAAAGCCAAGTGTGACATGCAGACATGTTATTATGGTTATAAAGTTGCTAAGCTTGTTTGTGGCAGAGCAATTTTTTATCCATAAAGATTCACAGTTCCTGTATACTCTTAACTTTCCTACCACAGCCTCAAAAATAGCTAGCCTAGATCCTTTTAAACCTGTTTTATAAAAGCCTTTGATTGGTCAGTCTGTCTTTTTACTGCCTTTGCAAATTAATTTATTGAATAATCCCTACTTATTCAGTGCCATATTGCCATTTCCCAGGCAATAAAATGTTATTCTATTCATTGTCCATGGAAATTTTTTAAAGGCAAGAAAATACTTACATATAAGAAACTGCTCTCTTTATGATTAATTCTTTATGTTTTACCTAATGTATTTTAACAGGGATGATAACACGGAATTGGGAATATATATGTAACCACAATAAAGAAAAAACGAAGATCCTAGAAGACAAAAATACTGAGCCCCACTGTGAAGACAGTGAGAACCAGTTTGATTTTTCAGTGATGTCCTATAATATACTTTCACAAGATTTACTGGAAGATAACTCACACCTTTACAGACACTGCCGGCGGCCAGTATTACATTGGAGTTTTAGGTTTCCCAATATTCTGAAAGAAATTAAACATTTTGATGCCGATGTAAGTGCAAAATACTAACCAAAAGTCTTCAGGTATAAAAAGCGGGGTTGAGCGTTTCATTTGTGCATTTGTGAATGGAATGGTTTTATCCATTTTTGTTTGTGTGGTGAGAAGGGAAGATGTTTAAGAAAAACTGACAGAGGAGTTCTTGATGGGGTATCAGACAGCTTTTGGTTTGTGGTGGTTGGTAAAAATAATCATCTGACTTTTCAAAAAAGATCTAAAAAGTTTTAAGTATTGGTCAGTTTGATGGATGTGACTGGCTGCATATTAAGTATTCAGTAAATACTTTCTTGGGTTTGAAATTTTAATAATTCATGCAAAAATTTCATCTAGCTGATGACATTTAAAGAAAGAGCCTGAAAGAGAGTACTAATGAAAATGTAAATTCAGGAAAAATATCCTGACATGTAAAGTAAAATGATTTCCTTTGGTAAATACCAATTGTGGATAGTAAGAGAGCTCCAGGCTCAGCGTGTTCAAATTGGAAACATTAATTTTGCAACTAGTAACAAATAAAAGGCTTGTTTCAACTATTTCAACTGTCATCAGGTTTAGAATTTAAACTTTTGGTTGAAAGATAAAAGCACCAGAAAATTCATGCTTGCATTTCTGCGTTTTAATTCAAGTTTTTTTTTTTTTCCTTCCAAGGTACTTTGTTTGCAAGAAGTTCAGGAAGATCATTATGGAACAGAGATCAGACCAAGTTTGGAATCGTTGGGTACAATGTAACTTTTATATTAGCTGAATTTACTTTTGAAGATTTGTATGTTACTAAAGCATAACTTGCTAACAAAGATCTATGGTGTATTGAAGCTAAGAATCTTTGAAAACGTAATCTGTTGCAGGAAAATGTTGAAGTACTTCAATTGGAAACCTTTGTATTGATATATAATCTTAATTCAGATGGAAAGGTGTGTTAGCATTTTTAATGGCTCCCTTTCTCCGTAGTTGCTCTGCATCCTGCTGGACCTCTAAGATTCTGAGCTCTGTTGAGATAATATCTTCTAGTGCCTAGTTTCTCCCAGTGCTAGTATGTAGAAGCTAAAAACTTGTTAATGGAGAAACACTTCTAGAAGCAGATTACCTGTGGTTTCTTAAAATTCAGAAAGGTAGCTGCTTTGCATTTTCATTCAACAATTTTTTTTGAGTGCCTACTGTATACCAGACACTCTTCTAGTCAGTGAGGATATAGCATGAGGCACAACAGAGGCCAACAATAGAATAAGTCAATAGCATAGTAAGTAAGGATAGTTTTCTGTAGAAAAGCAAGAAAGTGAGACGGGAGATTTCAGGTTCAAACAGAACAATCAGATGAGGTGAGGTGATGTTGGAGCAAGGATTTACTGGAGATAAAGGAGTGAGCCATAGCTGGAGCATTCCAGGCAAAAACAGCCAAGAAAAGACACCAAGGGAGGAGTGTGTTAAGGCAGGTGGGAGGCCCCGCGTGGTTGGAATGGAATGAGGAGGAGAAGTTGTAGGAAAAGGATCAGAGTTGGGGGCTGGAGGATTGAAGGCCTGTCACTGAGTGTCGATAGGGTGATATTGCACATTAACATATTAAGGACTTAAATCTAGCAGTTAGAGACTTAAAAGACCCAGTCCCAAACTTTTATGATGCTAATATTTTTTTAACATCATACATTACTAATGTTTTACAAAATACACTGGTAAAAATCATTCAAAAGTATTAGGAAAGGGGCAAGTGTTGTGGCTCAGTGAGTTAAGCCAGTGCCTGGGACACCTGCCTCCCCTATCAGAGTGCCCCAGGTCAGGTCCCATCTCTGCCTCCAATCCAGCTTCCTGCTAAAGCATTGGGAGGCAGCAGATAATAGGTCAAGTATCGGGTCCCTGCCCTCCACATGGTAGACCCAGATGGAGTTCCTGGCTCCTGGCTTCAACTTGGCCCAACCCCAGCTATTGCCAGCATTTAGGGAATGAGCTACTCTTTCTCTGCCTTTCGAATAAAAATATTTGAAAAAATAAAAGACAAAATAGCTCTAAAAATATTAGGTGAGCTGTGTTTTGACAAGTGTGTATATATATATATATATACACACACACAAAATTCTTTTAAATTCATTTCTTTTTTACAGGTTATCACTGTGAATATAAGATGCGGACGGGAAGAAAACCTGATGGTTGTGCCATTTGCTTCAAACATTCCAAATTTTCACTCTTATCAGTGAACCCAGTGGAATTCTACCGGCCTGGTATTCCTCTGTTGGACAGAGACAATGTTGGATTAGTTTTACTCTTGCAGCCCAAAATTCCGTGTGCTGCCTCCCCTGCAATCTGTGTAGCTAACACACATCTGTTGTACAATCCAAGGCGAGGGGATATTAAGCTGACCCAGCTGGCCATGCTACTGGCAGAGATTTCCAGTGTGGCCCATCAGAAAGATGGCAGCTTCTGTCCTATTATTATGTGTGGTGACTTTAATTCTGTTCCTGGTTCCCCACTCTATAGTTTCATAAAGGAAGGAAAATTGAATTATGAAGGACTTGCCATTGGAAAGGTAAGTCTTTGTTCCTTGCTGTCACTAGGAGAGGGACTGAGTGCTGCGATGGCACAGGAGGGTAATTCTTAATGGCTGTTGGGATACCTTGGATGATCCGTATCTCACTTCAAGCTGTGATGGTTTTCTACAACCACTAAAGAGTAATTACAGTCACTTGGTAGAATTTTATCTACTGCTCAGAAAAATTGGCAGGTAGAAAAACAAATTGGGGGCTAAGAGAAGTGGAAGCATTGACAGACATGGATACCTCACAGGAAAGGGATTGTTCAGAAGGTGGAGATGGAGAAGTTGTTTTTTTGAATAATGATAAATATTTTAATTCTTTAGCTTAGTATAATTGCCCCATGTTGCTATTTTTATTGTGCTTTCCTGGGCTTGCCTTTAGATGTTTTGCTCTTCAATATATTTAACCAATATAAGAGTTGATCTCTTGGTGTTTGATATGATAGCCAGTATTAGTCCAAAGCTGTTAATGACATTGATGTACGAATTGGAGGGAAACATATATAGGAAAAGATTCCTTTCATGTAAATGACAAGTGCTTCTTGGATTGCATTTGAACACAATTTTGTAAGCACAAATAATCCCTTAGTAAGTAAAGAGTGATATTTACCATTCTTGGATTACCCTTTGAGATAATAATTTTTTAATACATAAACTACTTAAAATCTATTCACTTAAGATACCTGTTGTAATTTCGTTTAGGTATCTGGCCAGGAACAGTCTTCACGGGGACAAAGAATTTTATCTATTCCAATTTGGCCCCCAAACCTAGGTATCTCACAGAACTGTGTGTATGAGGGGCAGCAGGTACCAAAAGTAGAAAAGACAGGTGAGTGTTTGCAACACATTTTGGCAGTCTGCTGGGTAACAGTATTCCCTTTGGAGATATAAAACTACATTTCAAAGGATGACATCTCAAGGATGATATTCATATAAATAATGTATGGTTATGTGCACATTCCTTTTTTTTTTCCTAAGAGCTCCAATTTTACCATTTTAAAGTCCAGTTTCCAAAATTAATGTGTGCATGAATTGCATGTTGCTTTGGAATTCTTTACACTTTATTCCTCCTAATTCTGGAGGCCATCAAAACATTATATGTTTCCAGGATGAGACGTAGAAACTATAGGTATCTATCTAAACTTGTTTGTCTCAAATGTCATTTCTAGAGTAAGAGAACTCTACTACAGCAAACCAGAAGAAAACAGGATGTTAGAGTGTTAATATAGTTCTCTCTGTTCTGGCAGACTGTGACCTGACCCAGACACAGCAGGAGAAAACAGAGGCCCTAGTGACGGCTGAAAAGTGAGTCCTTGGAAGTAGCAAGTGGGTTTTTGCTGACTTTGGTTGAATAAAAAAATTCCCATTTCTCAAAAATCACTTTGATAATTCCAGGCTGGTGAACAACACTGGCTGTTAAGTAGACCTGAATTCCAATCCTGACTCTGTCACTTTTTAGTGGTTCAGTTTTGAGCAAGAAATCTAATGTGTCTGGGTTCGCTTTTCTACTCACTCTGGGTTGTGAGGATTGGCTGAGACAAAGCCTGTACAACGTCCGCAACGTGGTGAGAGCTCCGGAAGCATCTAGAAAAGGAAGTACCTTGTTTGCGGACTGCACTCGGTGAAGTGTGCTGCCTTCACATATGTAAAGAAAGATCAAGAACACAGAAAAATATCTTCTACATTTCAGAAAGATCCTTAGTTTTCTTCGACTTAGTAGGTCCCAAAGCAGTCTTTAGGAGAATTAATCTGGAAAAGAAGATACCAGCAGAACGATGGCCAGGTCATCAGAGGTAGAGGGGTGAAGATGTCGTAAAGGAACGTGAACGTCTGGGGCTGTGGTTGAGGGATAGAAGTTGATACAGTGGGCAGAGACTTAAATCGTGTCTCTTTGGGAGATCTTGAAATGTCCATTGTTTCATATCGTGCCTCTATAGTTTTTTTGTTTTAACATTCAATTTTAGGAATCAAATTAGAACTGTCTTTCATTTTTATGTTTTTCCCCCTCTGTCTTTATTTTTTAAATATTTATTTACTTGAAAGGCAGAGTTACAGAGAGACAGGGAGAGACACAGAGAGATCTTCCATCCACTGGTTTATTCCCCAAATGGTTGCAACAGCCAACTCTAGGCCAGGCCAAAGTCAGGAGCCAGGAACTCCAGCTGGGTCTCCCAAATGGGTGCCGGGGCCCATCACACACTTGGACCACCCTCCCCCGCCTTCCTGGGTGCATTAGTAGGAAACTGGATTGAAAGCAGAGCAGCCAAGACTGGAGTTGCTGCCCCAATATAGGATGCTGGCATTGCAAGTAGTTGCTTAATCTTCACCACAATGACAGCCCCACAAGTACTTTAGATAGTAGGAATAGTAGAGGTCATGAAAAACTCCGTGGATGCTAAGCATTTTTTCTTCTCCATGTAGGTTATCTTCAAGTTTACAGCACCATTTCAGCTTGTCATCTGTTTATTCGCATTACCTTCCTGACAGTGGCATTCCAGAAGTGACCACCTGTCACTCCCGAAGTGCCAGAACTGTGGATTATATTTTCTACTCTGCAGAAAAGGAAGCTGTTCCCGGACACCAAGGTAAAGAATGCTGCTAATCTTAAATTCTGCTAGAGAGTCAGTCACTCAAACCTCAAGGCTAGAGGTGAGAAGTTCCAGATGGGGGAGTGAAAACTGTTTTTGAGACAGATTGATAATGTATTTGAATAAGCCAGTTAATTGGCTGCATATGCCATGGGAGGCAGTACAGAGCAAATCATTTCCTAAGAATAATCTCGATCCGAGACTCCTGTTCCGGTCACTGCCCTGAGTTCTAGCTCTTACACAGTGCCCTTTTGTCTTGCCTTAACTTTACTGTTTTTCCTGTGTTGGCAGTGCAGTAGATCGTTAATGGTCAATACATGGTTTTGTGTTTAAGCTTCCCTAAGGCATGCTGCCTTCCTGGTAGGACCAGGCTCGTGCTGCCAGCTACAGACAGGGTTGTCATGTTGACCCCGGAGGATTGGATCTGTTTGAGCAAGACTCAAGTCTATAGTTTGTGTATTCGGAAAGCAAAGGTGATAGAAAACTTTTCCCTCTGTGATTCAATGAAAACAAGACTTAGAGTGGGAAAAAAAATTCAGTTTAAAATAACTGGAGAGGGCTGGCATTGTGGCATAGCAGTAAGGCTGCTACCTGCAGGGCCAGCTTCCCACATGGGCACCAGTTCGCTGCTCCACTTCCAATACAGCTCCCTGTTAATGGCTTGGAAAAAGCAGCGGATGATGGGCCATGTGTCTGGGGCCTTCCACCCACATGGGAGACTAAATGAAGCTCCTGGCTCCATGGCCCAGTCCTGGCCATTGTGGCCATCTGGGGAGTGGACTAATGGATAGAAGCTCTCTCTCTGTAACTCTTTTAAATAAATATTTTAAAATAAGTAAGTAAGTAAATAAATAAATAAATAAAATGACTGGAAATCTAGAAATATTCAAAACACTTTGGAAGTCTAAAATGTAGAGAGTTTTTTGTCTGCCCTGCCCCCCCATTTTTTTCTTTCCATTATGTTTCTGCATGTGTCCTACTTTTCTTTTTCCCTTTCCCCCATCTGTTTTTTCTCCCCCCTTCTTTCTGGGGAATAGCCTTATCAGTCTACAGAATAAACCAGAATAAGCTTAGCTGCTTCATTGGTAATCAGAACCTGATAGGTGTCATGCCAGCACTAGTCCACTAGGTGTCAGGAGAGTGCCATGGATCAGCATCTCAGTGCTGGTCACCGCTTACTCTGCCCTGGGCACTGACTCTGAGACTGAATTATACTGTTTTATTTATTTATTTTTTTATTTTTTTATTTTTTATTTTTTTGACAGGCAGAGTAGACAGTGAGAGAGAGACAGAGAGAAAGGTCTTCCTTTTGCCATTGGTTCACCCTCCAATGGCCACCGCGGCCGGCGCGCTGCGGCCGGCGCACCACGCTGATCCGATGGCAGGAGCCAGGTACTTCTGGTCTCCCATGGGGTGCAGGGCCCAAGCACTTGGGCCATCCTCCACTGCACTCCCGGGCCACAGCAGAGGGCTGGCCTGGAAGAGGGGCAACTGGGACAGAACCCGGTGTGCCGGTGCCGCTAGGCGGAGGATTAGCCTGTTGAGCCGCAGCGCTGGCCTATACTGTTTTATTATCCAATCATCTTACAACCTCTGGCATTGTGGTTCAGTTTGTGTTGTTTTATGTGAGTACAGAGTATTTGGTGGATGAATTTCTTATATAGTTATCAATCTCAAATTATCTTTAACATTCTTGTGTATTATATTTTCTTCTAAAAAGATTATTTGCAGAACTTGAAATAGAAAAGCTACATGAAAATGCTACGTGTTTGAGAGTTATAACTGGTTTATAACTCAATGAAATCAACAAATCATATGCTAAAAAGTGGCTCATTGGCCAGCGCCACGGCTCAATAGGCTAATCCTCCGCCTAGCGGCGCCGGCACACTGGGTTCTAATCCCGGTCAGGGCCCCGGATTCTGTCCCAGTTGCCCCTCTTCCAGGCCAGCTCTCTGCTATGGCCCGGGAGTGCAGTGGAGGATGGTCCAGGTGCTTGGGCCCTGCACCCCATGGGAGACCAGGAGAAGCACCTGGCTCCTGCCTTCGGATTAGCGCGGTACGCTGGCCGCGGCGGCCATTGGAGGGTGAACCAACGGCAAAAGGAAGACCTTTCTCTCTCTCTTTCTCTCACTGTCCACTCTGCCTGTAAGAAAAAAAAAAAAAGTGGCTCATCTTGGTCTTTCAGAAGGATCTCAAGTTCTGTATCGTGGTTGTTTAAAAAAACAGGCTTGTATGGGTTACAGGAACCTGTTGGCCTAGTGTCGCTGAATATGTATGTGCTTCTTTAACGTAGGAACTGAAGTTGCTCTGGTTGGTGGCTTGAAACTTCTAGCTAGACTGTCACTTCTTACAGAACAAGACTTATGGACTGTGAATGGACTTCCAAATGAAAATAACTCTTCAGATCATCTGCCTTTGTTGGCTAAGTTCAGACTTGAACTCTGATTCTTTGATTGCGTAATTTCTATTCTTTTTCAGAAATGTAAAGTTTTTCTTAAGTGTTTGCATGTTCATTTTTGTGCTGTGGCATTTTGAAGAAGTTACGTTAACTGCTTGAAACATATCAGGAGAAATGAGTTTACAAAAATGTTCTTTTTTAATAATGAAAAATATTTTCCTGACCGTTGAGATCTCAATATTCTTTATTGTAAAAGAGTTGTAAATATTTTTTATTTCAAACTCCAGTAAAGTTGACAGTGATTTTTAAATGCAGTGCAGCTTCTTTAGCACCTTGTCTTCATAAAGAACTGTCGCGTCTCAGGCCAGCTTCAGAGCTGCTGTGAGTTCTTGCGGAGACCTGCTCTCGCTTGGGGGCCCTGTGTCTGCCGAGTCCTCAGCACTCCATCTGAGCAGTCGCTGCAGGGACTTGATGGTTTCTTCTTAAGCTGCACAAAGTGCTTGATTCAGCTTATCACTGTCGTGAGCCATGTAATATGCCTTCATTTTGTTGAGGACATATTTGGGTTACAGACCCCCATCTCTAGGGAGAGGGCCTTTCCACAAGCCCACCCTTTCCATTCTGTACCAGACAGGTGAGCCTGAGAGGGGCAGAGATTTGGGGGTTAAAGCTGTTTCCCTAGCATTTTTTTTTCTTCTGTTCAAGAAAAGATCCCTGGGTTGAGGGAGAGATTTTATTTTACTAAACCCACTCTGTAGAAATTTGTGAGGAAAACTGTCTTTGGGACATAGTGGCAGCTGTAAGATTATTTTTGTTAGTCTTCTTTTGCAATGCCACACCAGCATGAGATGGTGTTTACACTGTTAAGTGGTTACAGCAGGTCTGATAAATCCTGTAGTTGGTTCTGTATCAGTATTTGAATCAAGAAAATTTAAAACGTAAAAAGTGGAACTCTTTTTTTAGACAGTAGGATCAAAGAATTACATGCATTTTTGCTAAATAGTCATTTTGCACTGAATTATAAATGTTTCTGCAGTGGGTTTTTTTAATAGAATGCTTCATCTTAAATTGGAAAACTAATAATTTGGACTTTAAACTTTTTATACTAAGGTATTTACTACAATTATTTTTGAAAAATAAACAATGAAAGTCTGAGAAGGCATGTGAGTTATAAAGATTTGCCTGGTAAAATTGTAATATGCGAGTACTTTTCTCACTGTTTTTTGGGTTTTTTTAATAGTATTTATTTACAGGTTTTTCCACTTTTTAGTAGAATGCAGAATATTGTGATACATCCCAATTGGCAGATGTAGTGATCACCAGCTTATACTAATAGTATAATTATCCCTTTTTAGTATTAGGGAAAGGGAAATGAAAATAACTGCTTTGTTGTGTGTGAATTTCACAAGTAACATTATTTATGGGTCGTGATACTCTAACATTGCTGAAAACCTCTGAAAATTTAACTTTTTTATATCCTGTTTAACATAGTTTCATGTGCTTCGCTTTTATGGAGTTAATCCATGAAATTGCTTTCTACTTTAGCTTACCGAATGAAGTATTCTTTTGTGGACTAGAAGTCAAAGGGTCATTATGACCTCATAGATTTTCAAAACTTCACTAAAAATTATCCACTTGTCTATACTTTTCTTTTTAATCAAGAGGGTCCATGAGTCTGCTGGCACTGTTATCTACCTGCCAAAACAATTCAGTCTAGTTCATTGCAGAAACTGAATCTCTCAGTCTCTTGGAGTGTTATACTCTCCAAGTTTTAAATAAAAAGGGAAATTGAGAGTAATGAAATTTTGGTTTTACTCTACCCTTTAAGATTCAATATGTATATTTGAAGCCTTGTCTTTTGTTGGAATTTAACAACAGTCTAATTTTAACCCTTTGCTTTCATTAAAAAACAAGCTAGTGATCCAGAGAGTTCCAAGGGTTGAAGAAACAGAGGCGTCGTCTGTGCTTTGTGCCTGTAGATTATGTAATAAATGATCATCCTTGGACACGTGTGCCTGGAGGTTTTGTGGTGGGTGTGCTGAGCTGGGGACACTGGTCTCTTGCTCCTGTAAACCACGTCAGTGCCCTCCTCAATCTTTATTACTTAGGGTCCTGCCAAAAAGGGAATTGAGGTATGTCAAGATAAAGTGGAATTAAGTATTGAGTCAGAACACTTTGAAGAAGGAAGATAAATCAGCTCTAAGAGTACATATGTAGTAAGAAAAAAAAACCCATACCACCTTACATTTTTAGAAGAAGAGCAATGTTTAAGTTTCCAGAATGATTTTATTAAAGTCTCATGCTGTGTAGAAACATACAAGTGATGAGAAAAACGTTAACTTGAAACATGCACTTATCTGGCATTCTCTAAAATACTATTATACAAGTTTTTATTTACTTAGAAAAATACCCACTAAAACAATCACAGTTTTTCTTAAAGATTTAAGAAAAATGTATTGGCCAGAACAAAGTCCAAGAGAATAAACAAGATTCTGAATTGTATGTCAAAAAAACTGTACAAGGTTGTACATAAAACTATAGATTACAAAAGCCTTGGGTATAGTAAGAATACTGAATTAAGATTTCCAAAGTTCTATTTACCAATATCTATTAATAAAATCCTTATGAAATAATTGACTTAGAAAAAGTGAAATGCTCATGATTTCAGAGTGTATAGAAAATACTAAATATCACTTTCTGAAATAAAGTGTACTCAAAACAGCACAACATAGTCTAAAATTAAGATTTCTGTCATCCATTTAAACTTTGCATATATTACCATAATGGCATAAACATAAAATTTGTCTTGCATAACTTTTAAACTAGATTTCAGATCATTTCATGTTTTTTTTTTAATATTTTGAATATAGCCAATCTTAAACTCAATTTTGGGGAGGTCAAACATTTGGAATAGAGGTTTTCTTGCCGTAATACTTTTAATTATTGCATTTTAGAATTTAGGAGTTTGGTGCCTTTTCCATATCTGTAAGAAATTAACGTATTCCATGGGCAGTAAAACTAGTGACAACTAATAACATTTTAAATGAATTTTCACATTTCTCTGATTAACTCTTGCTTTAGGGAAATGAATTTAAAATTCAAGAAGTGAGCATGGAAGAAAATTCAATTATTAAGCCAGTTGGCAGTTTTAAGGCTTATACATCAGCATACTAGAAAATTATTTCTACTCTTTCTCCTTTTGTTGGAAACCAGACACTATGCAGCTATTTGGCACGGTCGATTCTAAGTCAGACAGACTTTAACACTTGGCAAATCCTATTTCAAGCTCTTACTTGTAGAATGGTGGCAGTGTTGTAAGTAGCGTACTTACTGGATGTCATGAAGTTTCAGATGGATACACAGAAGATACATGGCTAGGTCAGGATGGTTTCCAAATGGGAACGAAACGATTGACTACAAACATGTAATACGTATGTCTATGAGGCTGTAAACAGGTTTGCTGTGTGCAGATACACAGAGATAACTCATGTTGAACTGATAACACTGTTCTTGAAGTATAGTTCGGGATTCTCAGGCAGCATTTTAATGAAGGTGTCCTACTTAGTTCTGTTCACTAAAGAACATCAGACTGCCTTCTTTTTCAATAAAACTACTTTTCATTAATATTTATTTTTGGGCAAAGTGAGCTTTTGTGAATATAGTTGCAGGGTGAAGGCTTTTTGGCTTTTCACGTCACCCCAGAGTTTTACTGAGGAGGAGTCTTCATGAGCAGATGATTATTATTAAACTCCCATACAACAGCCGCCTTCAAAGGCAGACAGAGCAGCACCGAGGCTCATGCAGCACATTGTTGACTCGCGGATTTCACTCATGGAAGCGTCTTGGTCTCACAAGGTGACATGACAGCTAAGAGAAAACAAACGAGACAGATGCTCTTCTCCAGGCTTTTCCGACAGAACAGTGCGTGCATGCCAGGAGACTCACCTTCCATGGGCTGCAGCTGAAGTCAGAGATTCTGTCACGTACTGGCCGGTGCTTCACAGGCTAAATCACACCAAAAGGTTGATGCCAAAGGCTTTTCCATTAAAAAAAAAAAAAAAAAGTCTCGCTTCTCTGCGTTGTTGTTTTTTTCTAATACTTCCTAAATGACACGAAATGGTACCTCAATAAGGTACGGGAAAATAATCACATCATATCACATGTGGCCCGAATAGAAGACATCGGAACACAGCTTTAGCCACAGTCCCTCAGAATCAAAACCTGACTCGGAGTTTTAAATCTTAGATGAAAGATGAACAGGAAGGCTGTCGCCCTCGAGACCTGCCGCTGCATTCCTGGTCTCTCGGCCTTGCCGGGCTTTGCTGGGTGTGTTACTGTCAGAGGCAGCCAGGGTGCCGCTAAGCCTGTGGCCTCTTGTGCTTTTCGCTGGAATCTGCAGAGTTTAAATGGTAGTGACAGAACACTGACTAGCTGCCGAACATGCCTGATGTTTTCCTTTGGAAGATGGAAACCTGCTGTTAGAGAACGCTTTACAAAAGACTACGGAGGAAGTAACTGTGAAGTCCTGAACATCGATTCTCGTATTGCCACAAGAATTTCAGTGCTGTTTTAGTAGAACAGTTGCATATAATAACCTTAAATCTTATACTGTGCACCAGAAAAAAAAACCCCAAAGTCGTGGCGATCCCCATGGGAAGTACTGGGGAAACGGTACAGAGAATACAAAAACAAAAAACAAAACCACCATTAAGTTTTGCATATCTGATGTCAAAATGCTGAGGTAATAGTGACTGCTTAAAAAAAACCCACCCATCTTTGCTTCTGTTATTGCTGAGAAAGAAAGACAGTAATACTGACTGAGTTACCTTCCTATACCAAAAGTGGCAGAGATGACTTCGTGAGCGCTTCCTCTGGTGTGGCCTCATGTTCAAAGCAAGGAACAGAAAGTAGGTCAATGGAAAAGTACAAAACTACAGTCACGGTGGTTATCCTTGAGGTCTTGAGGGAGGCAGGCAGTCCAACCCCAGCCGGGCTGATGGCTTCGCCTTTTCACGGTTGCCTCTTGGTGAACTGTTTAAAGCTAAATGTTTCCACCCACTCAGATTCTATTTCCAGGTCAGTCCTTACAAACAAAATGCTCCAGTTCTTCATAAATAGTCGTTGCTGCTGACGACGCTGGGGCAAGTGCAGGGAGAAGCACCACAGGACGCTCTGGCTGGCTCGGCAAGGCTGGCTAAATTCGGATCTGGTAGCCCACCTCATTCAGTGTGCTCAGCTCAGCCGCCTTCTTCTCAGGCAGGGCAGGCCTAGGGGTAAAAAGCAGAAGGGGGATGCCAGGAAGGGGATGGACCAGAGAAGGATGACTGAGCACTGCCAAGGCCCCGACTCAGCTCCCCTAGCCCCTCCCCCGCCCCCACTCACCCTGCCAGCCAGAGCTCCCGACACCTTTACAGGTTTTAAGGAGCATTTGGACAGGCTCTTGGGCTAGACTTTAAACTGAAGTCTTCAGTGTTCAATCCGCCTTTTCAGCCTTAAGCCTAGCTTGGGTCACACCGTCACGCTGGCCTGCCAGGATCTGAGAACGCGGAAAGGCAATGGGAAGTCCCGTGTTCCGCAGGAGAGCTGAACATCTCAGGCAGCTTCTTGCTGAAACACTGAGCTCCCGGCGTCTGTGCCCTGGAGGAAGCCCAGGGACTACGGGCAAGGAGCCTCGTTATCTGACATTGTTCATGCTCAGGCGTGAATGTGTAACAAGGTGGATCTTTTCAGAATTCATCTGAAAAAGCATGTCAGTATAAAACAGCATTCCTCAAAAAATCTTTTCTAAAGTACTTTCCCAAGATGAGACTATACCCACGTATGTGAAGTCATGTAAGAGAGTACTTCAAGCTGGCTGGGAAGAAAGCAATTCATAGTTGCACACTGTCTGTCTTCATTAAAGATATTTCCAAATACAAATCCATGCCTAAGTATTCTCACAATTCATCTTACAACTTTTCCATTAAAAGAAAATGTTTAGACAGCAGCCAGTGTTGTGGTGCAGCATGTTAAACTGCCACCTGTGCCACAAGTGTCCCCTGTAAGCACTGGTTTGAGCCCCAGATGCTCCACTTCTGATCCAGGTCCCTGCTGGTGTGCCTGGGAGGCACAGGTGGAGTTCAAGGCTCCTGGCTTCAGTCTGGCCCAGCCCTGGCCATTGCAGCCATTTGGGGAGTGAATGAGTGGATGGAATATCATCTCTGTCTCTCCCTCTGTCACTTTATGTTTCAAATAAATAAAATATATCTTCAAAAAAAATTTTTCAGAGAGCTCTCACCCAGTTTCTCTCCCCAGATGCCTACAACATTCAGCCAGGACTTCAGGTCTCCTATGTGTGAAAATAGAACCCAACCAGTTGAGCCATCCATAAACTGGTGCCTCCCAGGGTCTGCACTGGTGGGAGCTGGACTTGGGAGCCAGAGCCAGGAATTGAAACCAGGCAGTGTAATAATGAACTCTAACCCCAGTTTTTCCATTTGTATGTGTCACCTTCTTTGATAAGATATAACCTGGGTTGTAAACCAAGTTTAGGTTGTTCAGTAAGAAAATCAAGGACATATTTTGTTACACATGCAATCTTAAAAAGTGTTTTAATAGTGTTTTTATTTATTTTTGACAGGCAGAGTGGACAGTGAGAGAGAGAGAGACAGAGAGAAAGGTCTTCCTTTGCCATTGGTTCACCTTCCAGTGGCCGCCAAGGCCAGCGCGCTGCGGCCGGCGCACCACGCTGATCCGATGGCAGGAGCCAGGTACTTATCCTGGTCTCCCATGGGGTGCAGGGCCCAAGCACTTGGGCCATCCTCCACTGCACTCCCTGGCCACAGCAGAGAGCTGGCCTGGAAGAGGGGCAACCGGGACAGAATCCGGTGCCCGGACCGGGACTAGAACCCGGTGTGCTGGCACCGCAAGGCGGAGGATTAGCCTAGTGAGCTGAAGCGCCGGCTCAAAAGTGTTTTAAGTGACAATTGCCAATAAGTTTCTTAGTTTTTATCTTTGAAGATTTCCCAACAGCAAATGGTTTTCACCTGCCACAAAAGTGGTCCAGCTCATTCAGTGTTGATAGATTTGGAAATGAACAGCTCAGCTCCATGAATGGCATTGGTGTCCGCCAACAGCACCCTGCTCTGTCTCGCCCTCACCCCATCTCCCCACTCCTCCGAGATGGGAGGGAATAGTCACAGTCTGTGATCATCTCTGGAACTCGCCCGAGGTGGTGAAGAAACCTGCTCTGACTCAGCCCTGCTCAGGTAACTGTGCTGCCTGGGCCTCCTTCACAGCTGACCTGTGCCCCTGCTTTATCTGTCAAGTCATCTTATTTCTCTGTGTCTGTTCTCACAGAGCCCAGGATACATACATTTTAGTAAGTTGCCAGCTGATAGAACCCACACGTCCTGTTGCTGGTATCAAAGAGCTAGGCTCTGGCCTTCAGTCCACCCCCCAGGGATGAGCCACTCCCTGAGAAACGGGCCCACTGCCTGCAGGCCTAGAGTAGTGGCTCCCAGGGGCTTCTATAAGGACCATACTTAGGCTGTCAGCTAAAAGGAACACACTTCTGCTCAAAGATTCAAACTTAAACTTGGATTTCTGCCCTAGCCCACTGCCTGCTCCTGTGCAGAGAGCTAGGGTTTTTACAGTCAAGTCAGGTTGAGAGGAGCCCATATGTATCTTACTCATTTTGCCATAAAGCCTGCTTTGTCTCCTTGCCTGAGACGGGATCATCTTTATAAACAGCTAACCCCTCTGATGGACCCCTCCTCCCCCCATACATCAGCATCAGCCTCAGGCAAATGCAGTTACACATGCGTGGGGTTCCCTCCTCACCAGTGTGTTCTGCTTGAGGAAGTCCAGGCATCAGTAATCCCTCGCCCGAGGATGAGCCTCATGTAAGTACACGCTGTCCTTGCTTGAGAAAAGGGTCAAATGCAGGTCATTTCCTAGAGCAATTAAAATGCCATCTCTTGGCCAGCGCCGCGGCTCACTAGGCTAATCCTCCGCCTTGCGGCGCCGGCACACCGGGTTCTAGTCCCAGTCGGGGCACCGGATTCTGTCCCGGTTGCCCCTCTTCCAGGCCAGCTCTCTGCTGTGGCCAGGGAGTGCAGTGGAGGATGGCCCAAGTGCTTGGGCCCTGCACCCCATGGGAGACCAGGAGAAGCACCTGGCTCCTGCCATCGGATCAGCGTGGTGCGCCAGTCGCCGCGGTGGCCACTGGAGGGTGAACCAACGGCAAAGGAAGACCTTTCTCTGTCTCTCTCTCACTGTCCAACTCTGCCTGTCAAAAAATTTAAAAAAAAATTAAAATGCCATCTCTTGGGGTTGGTGTTGTGGCATAGCAGGTAAAGCTGCTGCCTGTGATGCTGGCATCCCATATGGGTGCCAGTTTGGGTCACAGCTACTCCACTTCCAATCCTGTTCCTTGCTAATGTGCCTGGGAAAGCAGTGGAAGATGGCCCAAGTGTTTGGGCCCGTGCACCCACGAGGGAGACCAGGACAAAGCTCCTGGTTCCTGGATTTGACCTGGCATAGACATGGCCATTGCAGACATTTAGGGAATGAACCAGCAGATAGAAGATCCCTATTTCTCCTTAACTCTGACTTGCAAATAAATAGAGCTTAAAAAACAACAATAACTCCACCCTACCCTTCCTTTACAGCATAAGCCTATATTCCTATTCCAAAAAGAAATGACATTTGTAGATGAATTCTTTTAGCTGCTGTTTCTAATGGTCTGCGTGTGGCAGTCTGTCCACCTCTCCTCAGCATCCACTCTCACCCTTACAGATTTTCAGCTGGGCACGTGGCTTCCTGGAATACAAGCTACACTGCCTGGCCTGGGAGATGAAATCCTGTTCTTTGACCCCAGCAGCGGCTGCCATGTCTGGGCCTGGCAGAGGGCAGCCATGGGTGAGCCCAGCATCCACCTGCTTCTGGGGCCCAGCCAGAAGCATGGCGTGTTCTTGCCAGCTCGGCTCAGGGCCAGCGCTGGGCGAGCTCTTGTGTGTGAGAGGCCCCCTCCAAGTACTCCCCAGCTATAATTAGAATATTGCCAGGGGGGCTATTTTTAAGAAATGGGAGTTCCAGGATGATTCAGCCAGCCCTGACCCAGAAGCTCTGCTCAGACTCAGGGTGAGTATTTCAGACTGAATGTGTTTCTCCAAAATCTGCCGCAGTCCCAACGCGGCAAAGGAAGCGAAGGGTTTTCCTCTTGCAAGGCTCCGTTCTTACAGGAAGAGGAGGAGGGTGCAAAGGTTCCTATGATGCCCTTTGGGAAAGGAAGGAGGACACCCGTGTCCCTGCACCCACCCGGATAATCCCAGCCTCCAGGGCGACCTGGGGTGACCAGTTGGGGACCAGGTCTTTTTTTTTTTTTTTTTTTTTTTGACAGGCAGAGTGGACAGTGAGAGAGAGAGAGACAGAAATGTCTTCCTTTGCCGTTGGTTCACCCTCCAATGGCTGCCGCGGCCGGCGCGCTGCGGCCAGCGCACCGCGCTGATCCGATGGCAGGAGCCAGGAGCCAGGTGCTTTTCCTGGTCTCCCATGGGGTGCAGGGCCCAAGCACCTGGGCCATCCTCCACTGCACTCCCTGGCCACAGCAGAGAGCTGGCCTGGAAGAGGGGCAACCGGGACAGAATCCGGCGCCCTGACCGGGATTAGAACCCGGTGTGCCGGCGTCGCTAGGCGGAGGATTAGCCTAGTGAGCCGCGGCGCCGGCCCGGGGACCAGGTCTTAATCTATCCTTAGCTCCGACCTGGAGTCCGAGGAGCCAGCTGGACAGAGGCTGTTAGAGGGGCAGGCTGGGAGGTAAGCTCGCTTGTTAATTCTTAAAATGTTGCCATGGCTCTTCTCTGGAAGATGCTCCCAGCACCTGCCGCTGCCATCTAAACTCTCCAGGTGCACGTCGAGTCCTTCACACGCTCTGAGGCCACCTCAGTGCCCGGCATACAACGTGGCCAGTGTGGACCCTGCCCCAGGGAAGCTTCAGAAAGTGATGGCATGTCTGGGGCCACAACTGGGATACCAGGAAGGGACACAACGGTAGTGTCGGCTCCTCAGTCCTCGATCAGGGGTGCTGGGAGCCTGGCACTGCCCAGCATGAGAGAAAGCCCAAGCCTGCCCAGGTCTGGCGGGACTTAGTGCAGGGCAGGCGCCTGTCTGGGGAGGCCTCAGCTGAAGGAACAGCAGGCACAAGGGAGCAGTTCATTTGCACCTGCTGCCCTCATTCAAGGCTGTCCGGCTCCTCCACACATTCCCGACTTACCAGGAAGGACCGCAGGCACCATGGCCGGTGGCTGACAGGCAGACAACTGTGGCTGCATTGTAAGCAGTGTCCCCCCACACCCCCCCGCCAGACAGACTGGGCCCAGTCCCCAGGCCTTCCCCAGCTGGGAGGCGCTGGCCAGGACCAGTGGCCACAGACCACTGCTGGAGATCCCAGGGTGCTGCATCCAGGTTCCGCACTCAGCCTTCTGCTCTGGGAGCCCCACCATGTCTGACTCTGGGGAGCCAGTCCATCCTGGGTTCTCCAAAGTTCCCAGGCCCCTGGGCCACAGGAGCTCCCTGCGGTAACAGTCGGGCTGGCCGTGGGAGCAGACACGGCTGCTTGCGTACCCCTGGAGGTTCTGCTGTTTCCCCTCTACCTTCCATGCTGAGGAAATGTCCTTCCTTCTACCCTGGGGATATCTTCTCACTCAGAATCTAAGGCAAATGATGTCTTGGGTCCCCTTTAAAACACCTTGCATATGATCAGACCGTGGGATCCAATCTGACTTCATCAGTTGGTCTCTGCCCGTCTCAGCCAGACTGGGGCCAGGCAGCCCCTCCTGGCAGAACGGAGCAGGAACCCAGGGTGCAGGGTGGCCCTCACGGGAAGGAGACCTTATCTTGAAGCAGGGCTTATGAACTTCTGGGACCCTAGCATCCTGAGCAGGGTGAACAGAGCCCTCTAGAACTAGAAGCCGCCATAGGGATGGATGACAAAGAAAGGCAATCAGAGGGAAAAAGGGAGGAAGAGAATCATGAACAGCAAAGAGAGGAACCACACGAGGAGGAGAATACAAAGAGGCTCTCTTGGGGTCCTCTGGCCCCGACGTAGAAGTGTCCCATGTGGTCACTCCACTGGCATGAGCTGCTTTCAGGCGCACACGGGTGGCCAAGCCAGAAAGGATGGCACGCTCACTCCTGCTCTTGCAGCCACAGGCAACAAGCCAAGGGTTGCCATCTGCCGGTGACAGAGAGGCCCTCAGAGGGTGTGCACACATCTCCGAGGGGGCCCTGTTGGCACCCGAGGTGGTTCTTTCCTGGGCGAGGTGGTCGCGGGGCTGAGAAGCACGGGGGCCCCGGAGGACCAGACACATGGATCTCAACTGGCATCTCCCTTCTCTTTATGAGCCACAGGAACAAGCTTGGCCGTGACACGTGGAAGACACAGCAGCACTCCTCGGGGAGTGGAGTATGAACAGTACCGTAGCTGGAGGGCTGGGTGGGGGTTCCGTTGCCCTCTAGAAGCTTGGTCTCAGCTGGCCTTGGGCACTCGCTGCCACTGGGCCCCCACCCAGCTGACTCGCTAACCCATGACACTGGTCCTCCTGCCAAGGGCTTACTGAGGCAAGTGCAAAAATGGAGAATTCAGGGCTAGAAGCAGCTCCAGCTGCAAGCAGGAGGTATGTGGGAGACAAAAAAGCCACTAACATGATCCACGCAGAGCTGGGGACAGGGACCCCGCTGAGGCTGGGCCTCTTGTCTGTTACGGGAATTCTCTTCCCCCTTGGGCCTCTGCCAGGCTCCTGCGGCACCCAGCACATTTAGAAATGACCCGATGGCCTTATGTAATGCTGAAATAATAGTGCAGAGATGGAGTCACCAGCCCTACGTAGGATCCCTGGAGTCCACAGAGCTCCTGGGTCATAACCATCTCTGTCACCTTCTCATTTGCTCCCCAAGAGCCAGATTACCTGGAGGAGAGCCCACCTGGCAGAGGCCATAGGGAGAAGCTGCCGATCTGCAGAGAGACCACTGGGGACCCGGGTGTGCTGGGTTCCGGCACGCAGCAACGGCAGCAGCTGACAGCTGGAGGGGGAAGAGCGGGAGGGGCGGGGCGCCTGGGTCCTCTTGGGGCCCCCCTGCCTCTCACAGCCCTTCTCTTCTCTGCACCTCTCGCTTTCCTCTCCTCCCACAAGGAGCCCCTCAACCTCTTCCCCAGGCCTGCAGCTCAAAGGTCAATTTTTAGGAGAGCCTGGGGAGAGCCTCCCTCCTCCTCCACTTCACACTCCAGGCAAGCTCTGTGCCCTCCAGCGTCTCCTCCCAACCTCTAAAACTCTGCAAAAGGAGGGACAAGCGGGGGCAAGAGCTCCTGCCGCTGTGCCCTGGCTGGATCTGCTCCTGTGGAATCCTCCTCGGGCTGGAGCTCCCATGACGGCCAAGCTTCCCAGGCCACCTGGCCCTCGTTGCAGAAAAGCACACCCAGGATCTGGGACCCCTGGGCAGATGGAGGAAGATTTCTGGGTTCAGGAGGAAGGGCTGTGGGGAGGGGGGTGGAGCTGGGGCTGCAGGGGTCTGGGTGCAGCTGCTTTCCACTCCAGAAGTTTCTGTGCACCACCATCTCTGGACTCAGAGGCACCTGCTGGGGCTGGGACTGACTTGGGGCATGGGGGCAGGAGGGTGCCGAAGGAGAAGCCCCTCTCCTGCAGGTCGTCCTTCCTGCCCTCAGTGGCCACCCCTCCCCTGGGCGTTTTCCTCCTGCCCTGGCCCTCTGAGGGGCAGAGGGAAAGGCGTGGGCAAGAGGGTGGCTTGGCCCTCAGGACCCCTGCTTCCTGCACACCCCAGAACCTTCTCTCCCTGAATGCTCTGCCCCATCTCCTGCCCCACTGGCCCTTCTTCCCTTGGCCTCCTCACGGCCTTGCCATTGCTTCTTCTCTCTTTTTTCTTTCCTCGCTGACTTTCCAGCTCAACCCCCACCTGCCTCTTCTGAGATGATGGCTCCAAGATGAGGTCTGTCCTCCAACCCCAGCTCTGCACATCCGGCAGCTCCCAGGGCCCTCTGCCGGCTGCCCGAGAAGCGCCTCCGCTTCTTCTTCCGTGCCTCCTGCACCACCCCCACCTGACCTGAGAGAGCACCACGGGCCCGCGCCATCCCCGGGCCGTCATGGGAGTCTTTGCTGGTTAAAGATTGAACATGCTCCTGACGGCAAAGTCCCTGTGGGCCCAAGCACGCATCTAGGAAGAATGATCTTAAAAACCAGGCATTGCTGTCCTGGGCCTGACGATCCCATTGCTGGTGGAACAACTGGGTTTTCTGTGCTAAGTCTTCCGTCCCGAGTGAAGAGCGGGCTCTAGACCACTCACAGCTGCTAAAGACAGAGCTCCCGAGGGGAGGGTTGGCTGTCCTAGGGCAGGAAGGAATACATCTCAGAAGGGCGCGCTCCTCTGGTTATGCACAGCCTCCTGTGCCTGCGCCACCCGCTCCAGGATAAATGAGCCCCTGCAAAGGGTTTCCCTGTTCCTAGCCCTCCAAGGCATCTGCTACTTTGTCCGGTGACAGTAATTAAAGGACACTTGAATCAGGGAGAAAGACAGGGTTGGGGTCAGGACGAAAGGTCAAGGGCAGAGGTCAGGGTGAGCATCCTTGGGGTTGAGAGGCCACACATGAAGGGTCTGAAGCCATCCTGCTCCCTCAAGACAAACCTATGCTGACACCTCCTGACCTCTGCCTCGCCGGTTGCAGGAACACCCAGCCCCTCGCTCACTTCCCCCCTTCCCAACCCCACACCTGCTGGAAATGCTGAGCCCTGGGATTGGCAGTGGGATGTGGGCTGGCAGCAAGTAAGGAAGCCTCCTTGGTGCTGGAGACATTTCAACCTGTCCTGTTCTTCCCAAAATAACCTCCCTCTCTGCCTCAATCCCCCTCCCCCAGAGCCAGGGGGTCTGGGGGCTAGCCCCTGCTCCCTCACTGAGTAGCCACAGTGCTTTAGTGCAGGAGAACCTCCTCTGTGTTCTGGTTTCTGCATCTGAAAAGGAAAGCCACAGAAGGTCCCCTGCTTGCTCTATGGCACTGGGGCAATGGTGCTGATACGCCTGTGTGAGCGCGCCCACCACTGCCATGTCACTGGTGCGACACCGTCTCATTCCGTCCTCACCACGACCTTGCCACACACACCCTGCAGCCCTGCATCCTCTTTCAGTGCTGGGGAAACTGAGGCTCCCTATTTGCTTCCCCTTTGCCTGGCTCCGTGGCTGGGACGCCACTGAGAGCTCTGTGTGCTGTTCCACGTGGTCCCCACAAGGCAAGCGGCTTGTGTGGCCAGGCCTGCTGCTGTGACTTGTTCCCAGCATAACTAAGGCTCAAGCATTTGCCGGTGGATTATCCCTGGCCACTTGGGGCACCCTCAGCAGCTCCACACTGTCATCTCTTAACTGAGTGGTTCTAACCTAGGAAGGGGCGTGGCATCAGCAGTGTTGGGGCCAAAACAGGGGCCGTGGGGTTAGACAAGGAAGAGGCCGGGCCTGGAGATGAACACAGGCCATGCAGGGCCCAGAGGCCCATAGGATCTTAGGAAATGCACAAATTCTAACAATCCCACTTTACAGTTGACAACAGTCGTGCCCAGAAAGGTTTTAAGACACGCTGAAGGTCACACAGCTCCTACATAGCTGAGCTGGGTCCAGGCCCAGGTTTCCTGACTCTAAGTCCAGCGCTCCCTCCCATGCTCCCTGGATTCTGGGCTTTTCTTCCTCACAAGCCAACTGGGGCTCATCCCTCTGGCTGTGTGCACAACTGGTCACAAGCAGAGGCAGAGGAAAGGAGTTGACGCGCATGGGGCAGCCTCTCCCACAGATGAGCCGTGAGCCAGGGACGGTCCTGTTGGGCTCGCCGTCTGGTTCAGAGGCCAATCCCAGGACACGGCTTTGGCCCCCTGGGCCAGGAGCACCCCCACAGAGAACAGGAAAAGCTACTCACGACTTGTCTCGCCTGCCGAGCCTTCTTGGGGGGCTTGCTTGCCTCCTTCGGGGGGACAAGGATTTTCCCCGGCTTCTCACTTGGGTTGGAGAGTGGGCACTTGCAGGTTTCAAGATCTGGAGGAGATACACGGAGTGAACCACACCAGTTCCCGCAGCACAGCACCCCAGCCCAGCCTGCTCAGGATCTTGGCAGGGAGAAGGCTCCGAGGACGGAGGTGTGAGGAGGACAAGATCAGAGACCTCCACCTTCCCCTCATTCTGCACTGGCAGGAAGCAAGGGCTCCGTGCACCAGAGGATGGTCTGGCCCATCACATGGCAGAAAGAACGCAGCCCAGTGCCTCAGCCTCCTGGGACTGCAGGTGGCTGCTCAGCAAGTTTCTCTCTGTGAAGGCAAAGTCTTGGCTGCACCGCCCCAGAAACAGCCGGTTCTCATCCCACCCACGTGCTCAGCGGTGGGACAGGAGTGAAGACGGCAGGGCCCTGGTGCTACACAGAAGCCAGCTGAGGACAACGTAACAGCTTTCTCCATGGCCCCCATGGGTGCACGGACTTTCTTCAGGCAAGTGGACATCAGGTCACCTTGAAGGTAAAAGGGATAGGGGGATGGCCTTAGAACAGTCTTTGGAAGGCCATGTAACTTTATATAAGGCCTCGTTGGCTATGGTGACACCAGGTTAGAATTTTAGGCCAAAGGACACTGCAATTTATAGCGCCAAACATAGATCAAATATGACTCTGATATGGACTATTTAGCAGTGTGACCAATCCATCCTGGTTTTCCTGGATTTAGTCTGAAAAATCTCATGTCCTGAGAAACTCATTTCCAGGCAAACTGGAACAAGCAGTCACTCTGAAGACAAAACAGAACCAACTTCCGCGTCAACATAAAATGACTAACATGCCAGATCTGATTTCATAAAAGGAATCGCAGGCCAAGACGTTGCTTTTCGCCATAACATCCAAGTTGGTTTGAGCTCTGGTTTTGGAAGTAGCATGTGCAAAAATAGACTTTGCCTAGATCGACTAATAATTGATGTCTGTTTTTCATTTTAACAGGTTGACTACTAAGCAAGAGAAGCTCAAGAAACTTTTGGTCATCCTAGAAATTTAGGGCCTGGATAGGGGACGGAGGTAGCGGTAGCGATAGCAATAGCAGTAGCGGTTGAGGGGGAGAGGGGGAGAGGGGGAAGAGGAAGAGAGAAATCTCAGAACAGAGCTCTCCTGCATCACCCATTTGCCAAGCACCTACCTTCATTCTCATGTCCCTGGCAAATTTCTCCAGCTCCTTCCTTATGTCAGCCCTCAACATCTTGGAGACATTGAGGACCAGCTGCTTCCATTCGATGGGCTGGAAGCTATGAGGCTCATGAGGAACGTACAGCCCAATCTTGACCTTCTTGACTGTGTGCAGGTACTTCTTATAGGAGTCTTCAAAGTCAAAGATGAGGTCACTCAGAGTCCGAAAGGTCAGTGGCTTGTCCATCAGCTCTGCCCTTCGGCTCATGCCCAGTGAGCCATACCGGCCATTGCAGTAAATTCCCAGCACAACGTGGTGAAAGCAGTTTCCTGAGAAGCAGGTTTTAAAGCTGATGGGGAATCGCTCAATGGAAGGCTGCCCATTGGTTAAGTATCTTAGAGAATCCCAGTCAAGGAAGAGAAAGGAAGCCTGGAAAATGCAGTCTACCCTTTGCTTCTGAACAGACCCACATCTTAAATTTTCCAGACAAATCCTTTTGTAAGGGATTCACTTGATATCCTTGACTATTTACTATTTTTTAAAAGATTTATTTTATTTATTTGAAAGTCAAAGTTACAGGGAGAGGGAGGAGGAGACAGAAAGAGAGAGCGAGGTCTTCCATCCACTGGTTCACTCCCCAAATGGCTGCGACAGCTGGAGTTGGGCCGATCCAAAGCCAGAAGCCAGGAGCTTCCTCCAGGTCTCCCACATGGATACAGGGCGATCCTGGAATTAGTCTTCTGGGACAAGTAGAAACATCCAGGAGAGATGGGAGTGAGGAAGGAAACAGGAACTGCCAGCATATCCGTCACAAATCATCCAGGAACAATTCTCTAGGATTTGTTCCATCACCACAGTGATCAGCAAGGTCTTGAAACTTGGAACAGTTGGGGACAAGAAGGGGGATGAGCAAGAACGATCAAAGACAGAGGTAGTCTGAGCTTCCCCAGGGAAGCAGCAGCAGTGCCCCAGCCTCCTGGGCTGCGCCAAAGCTGCCCCTGTAATGAACCTGTAATTTTCTAACCTACAGTTCTTTAGTACCATGAGCAAGCACACTACCACAGGCAGTGAGGCCTCCCAGACTAGTGGCCTTAATTCAGAAGATAATTTGGAACAGAAAATCCATCTATCCAGCACGCAGGTCGAAGTGGGCACATGCAGTTAAGCAGGATAAAACCAAATGGCTGGAGGCAGGTGTTTAACTTAGCAGTTAAGATACAAGTTAAAAGACACCTGCTTCCCACCTTGAAATGCCTGGGATCAAGCCCAAGCTCCAGCTCCTGACCCCAGCTTCCTGCTTGCCATGTGGGAGACCTGGACTGTGTTCCTAAATATTGGCTTTGGCCTGATTCAGGCCAGCTGTTGTGAGCAATTAGAGAATAAACCAGAGATAGGAGCTCTGCTGCCCCTCTCTCTTAAAAAAAGAAAAGAAAAAAGAAAAAGTGGCTGTTCACTCATAAGGTCTGAACTCTGGGCTAAAGTCAAAAGAGAGAACCAGGAAGGACAGGCTACAGACCCAGTCTCCCGGGCAGCCACACTGGCCAGTTTCAAAGCTGTCCAGACGCTGCTATTTCCCAAAGGATGCATGAGAGATGCAGACGATGACCCAAGTCGCGTCCTTCGCCACCCCCGAGTGCAGAGCAGGACTCGGGGCTGCTGACGCAGAGCAAAGAGAAGACGAAGATGCTGCTGTAACTTTCAGAATTTAGGCCTGTGTTTCCAGTCCGTCTCCAAGAATCAAATTTCCCCGAGTTCAGCAGAGTGCACGCAATCTCTCCACCCTCCCCGCTTTCCCAAACTTTTCTGAAAACGTCATCCAGGTAGAAACAAAGGAAGCTCAAGAGCGTGCACTCTCTGACTGCACAGACCTGCAGGCTGGTCATAGGTCACAGCATCAGTGGGTCACAGGATCCAGTGGCAGGATGCCTGGACGCACAAAATCCTGCAAGGACAAGATGACTGTGTAAAGCAAGATGACCTGTATCCAGCTGCTCTCAGATGTCCCTCAACTTTATAGCCTGAGTCAGCTTGCCCAGAGAGCAGTGACAGCCTAGCCTGGGGTTCCTCTTCACTGACCTCCAACAGCAACCCGTGGCCAATTGTTCACCCCCATTAAACTTGCAGGAGGCCCTGCTGAACAGCTGTGGCTGTCTTCTGATACCAAAGACTAGGGGCCCTGAGCCATCTGCTGCCTGACCTCCCAGTGCTGGCCTCCTCCTGGGCCCCCAGGCACATGTTTCATCTCCTGTGTGGGGAGCAGGTGTCACAGGAGGGTTGGCGGGCATCGGGGGGTGGGGTGGGGGAGGGAGGCTCAGTCAGGCTCAAGTTTCCATTTTTCGTCCGAGGCCCCTGTGGACAGTCTTGTTTTGGATCAGGCCTGCAAGTACTCCACTGGCTGCAGAGAGGCACAGAAATGCCTTTCCCCAGGGGCAAAAGAAAAGAGTTCAGACCAAATCCTTATTGGGAACATGCATCCTTCCTCCAACTTTGGAAAAAACTTGTTTTTATTTGAAAAGTACAGCAACAGAAAGAGACACAGAGAGCTTTCATATGCTGGTTCACTCCCTAAATGCCCATAATAGCCAAGGCTGGGCATGGCTAAAGCCAAGAGCCCAGAACTCCACCTGGGTCTCCTATGTGGGTAGCAGGATCACAAGTACTTGAGTAACCATCACCTGCTACCTCACAGGGTGTGCATTAGCAGGCAGCTGGTTGGAAGCAGAGCAGGGATTTGAATCCAGCTGCTCCAATATGGGATGCAGTGTCCTAAGCAGTATCCTAACCATGGCACCAAACACCTGCCCCTCTTCCTCTGACTTCTATGTCTCCCTCCTCTCCTGCTTTTCCTTCTACCTCTGACTTTCCTCCTCAAGTCTCCTTCAAGGTTCTTTGTGTCTAAGTTCACTCAAAAATACTGGGATTTCACCTTTGATCTTTATCTGCTCTTACTTCAGCAACTGCAAACCCCCAAACACAGCTCCAAAATCTCCATTTCTGGTGCAGTGCCTCCCTGTGAGAACCCCATGCCAATGTTCCTCAGGCACCTCAAATCCAACTTGGCCAAATCTGAGTTCGTCTCTTCATAAATCTGACTCTGCCCTTTGAGCATTTCCCTTAGACTGTAGTGTCAGGATGGAAGCCAGTGATATGGAGAGGTCCTTTCCTTCTCCTCTAATTCCGTAGGTAGGTAGGCAGGCAGGCAGGCAGGCAGGTAGGTAGGTAGGTAAATAGATAAAGATGAACCAATAAATGTGAATCCTTCTGCAAAGAAAACAGATAGAAGATAGACAGATGACAGACACAGATGATAGATAACAGATAGATGATAGGTTGGTTGATAGGTATCCAAATCCTTCCTTCCACCTTCACTGTTGCTCTTAGTTCCAGTGTTGTCACTCTCATCCCACCAGCCCATCCTTCAGACTCTTTTTTTTTTTTTTTTTGACAGGCAGAGTGGACAGTGAGAGAGAGAGAGAGAGAGAAAGGTCTTCCTTTGCTGTTGGTTCACCCTCCAATGGCCGCCGCGGCCGGCGCGCTGCAGCCGGCGCACCGCGCTGATCCGATGGCAGGAGCCAGGAGCCAGGTGCTTTTCCTGGTCTCCCATGGGGTGCAGGGCCCAAGCACTTGGGCCATCCTTCACTGCACTCCCTGGCCACAGCAGAGAGCTGGCCTGGAAGAGGGGCAACAGGGACAGAATCCGGCGCCCCGACCGGGACTAGAACCCGGTGTGCCGGCGCCGCAAGGTGGAGGATTAGCCTATTGAGCCGCAGCGCCAGCCCATCCTTCAGACTCTTGTCCAACCTAGGAGCCTGCCTTTATAGATGCCTTCCTAATCAACTCTTTCATCCGAAAACCTCCAAGTCCTGTGAATTCCATCTCACTGGTATCTCAAACATCCCCCCAAATTCATTCTCATTGTCAAGACCACGATTCAAGCATCACTTTTCCTTCATGTAACAGCTCCCAAAGGCTTTGCAGATCTAATCCCAGCCTCCCCCAGTTTCTCCTCCTTCAGTTTGTCCTGCAGAGAGTGACCTCTTAAAAGTACGCTCCTGACCATGTCACCCCTCTGCTTCAGAGCTTTCGTCTGGACTGCCCATTGTATTTTGGGATAAGGTCACTTCCTGGCACAGCACTCAAGGATCTAACTTATCTTACCTGGGACCACCTCTCAAGTCCATGTCTTTCCGTGTCTCCTTTGCCTTTGTCCCTTCCAGCCATCTACCCTACAGGACTTGGCATTTTCTTTGTTCTTCTATCTGATCACGTTCAGTTGCCATTACCACTAGTAAGTTTTTCACAGTTTTCTAGACCATATTCTTGCCACACCAAGGAGTTTGATGGAGAATAGAACAGAAAATGTGGGACAGACCAGACCCTAGTGTCAGCTGTATTCTGGCCAGCTGAGACACATCCTCTTGGTTGGTCTCTACAATCTACCTTTGGATTCTACCTAGAGATGGGTGTGGATACTAGCCCTCTTGTCCCCGATGCAATTCTCCCTAAGCGTCTTTCCTGTGGCAATGTCAGATCAGTGCAAGAAGCCACACACTCTTGCTGATCCCTCTAAGTTAGAGCCCTCCTGGTGACTCATGAGTCTGAGCTGGCCCTGATGGGAGCAGCAGCTAACAGGTTAGACTAATGTTGGTTCAAGGAGCCTAACACTGATTTGGGTCAACTCCATTTGGGGAAAATGAAGGCCCCAGGGGAGTTTGACACTTTCCTTCAAGCAGTCAACAGGCATCATCTCTATGAATCTAGGATGAGAAAGGCACCAACAGCCCACAGTGTGTGTAGCCCACAACTACGCAGCAGACTTCAGCAGGTGCAATTGAAAGGATACATGCCCAGGATGACGGCTTCCAGGCATTTGATAGGCAAGGATTCTCGGGTCATCTCTTTTGCGGTTTCCATTAGCCTGTAAGATAGAGCACAGCAGAGGACTTATTTAATCATACAATGAGTGAGTCTGTCTGTCAATCCATTAGCATGCAGGTTCCCAACTAGGTATCATGCAGGAATATAAAGGGAAAGGGGAACTCACCTCCCAGGAGGGCACCAAAGCACAGCTGCATTGGCAGTGTGAAGTCCCTCAGTGCACCACTGCCCGCTCCAAGAGTTAGTTCCCGGAAGTCACTGCCCATACTCCACCCCGCCTCCCCATGCTCCAGCACAGGGAGCACTGCAGAACAAGCGTGGGGGCATCCCAGAGCAAACTGCACAAGGCTCCCCCATCCTGAGACTTACTATTCACCACTGGAACTCAGCTGTCAGCCTGGCCTACAACTCAGTCCCACCTCCACTGGCTGTGGGGCACCCCCCTCCCCCACCCCATACTCCAGCACGAGGACACAGGGATGGAGGTTGGGAGACAGAGCTGGCAGCTCGGGGGTAGACAGATGCCATCTGGCCCGCAGACCATGTGCCACTTACCCACTCAGCGGTCTCATTTTCCTAATTTCAAAGAACTGGGTGCCTGTGTGATTGTATCTGTGTGGAGCATGTAAAGGGAAAGTGACAGCAAAGGAAGTGATACATCCTGATTTCTCGGGGTGGATGAGGAAGCAGGGGCTTTGCAGAAGTGGCCAGCAGCTAGAAGGTAGTCAATAAACTATAATGCTTCACTATCCTGCCCTGGCAATCTCATGTCTAACTTGGGCCCTAAAACACCTTGAATCTTTATAACAGCTCTTTTCAATCTGCTCTAGGTAGTTGAATACATGTCTTTTTTTCTTTTTTTAAAGATTAATTTATTTGAAAGTCAGAGTTACAGAGAAGCAGAGGCAGAGAGGAAGAGGGGAGGGAGGGAGGGAGGGAGAGAGGCATGGAGAGAGAGTGAGAGCAAGAGAGAGATCAATCCTCCATCCTCTGGTCCACTCCCCAAATGGCCAGAGCTGGGCTGAAGCCAGGAGCCTCTGCCAGGTCTCCCACTTGGGTACAGGGGCCCAAGGACTTGGGCCATCATATGCCGCTTTCCCAGGCGTATTAGCAGGGAGCTGCAGTGGAAGTGGAGCAGAGAGGCCTTGAACTGGCATCCGTATGGGATGCTGGCAATGCAGGTGGCAGCTTTACCCACTACACTACAGCACTGGCCCTGAACACACATCTTGATTTGCCTGCTAGACTACAAGCTTGTAGAGAGTTGGGACTATTCTTTTATTATCCTTTTCATCCATGAAGCCTGACTGAAGCCCAACATTTGTGAGCGAGCAGATATTATTAAATGAATGAGGAATTAAATGGATGGGTGAATAGATGGATGGATGGATGGATGGGTGGATAAAAAGGTGGACAGAAGAATAGGATGGAATAGGATGGAAGGGTGGAATGAAAGGAAGAGTAGATGGATGGAGGGATGGGTGGATGGAGGGACTGAAGAGGACAGATGGAAGGAAAGATGGCAGCTGGCTTTTTCAGGAGCACACCCACCCACCATGCAGCAGAGCTCACTGGGAGACATCACTTGCTTCTCATGGCTGGACTGACACTTAACACTGATGACCAAATCTGAGATTACCTCATTATCCACAACTCAGATTTAGCTGACGGCCCACAAGTTCTCGGACACGGATAGGTCTGTAGCAAATCATTCTTTAGGAGACCAAAGATGCTCTGGTATCATGCTCTGGACTCAGTCTGGATTTTCTGAACCTAAAGAAAAGTAGCTTTGTCTATTTTACTTTTCTGCCTCAAACAGAATCCTGTAGAAAAAGTACCCGTTGGGAGGGGGTTCACGAAGCAGGAACTTGTCCGCCTGGAGCCACTGCAGCCCAGACAGGGTGCATGACTTTCTGTGAGTGCCCCCAACAGTGACACAGGCAGCTACAGAGTAGGTACTGAGTGGCTGGGGTTCCTCTCCTGGCACACAGACCACCACCTGGGGAGCTTGTAGGCCCTGCTTCTTCTTCTTTTTTTTTTTTTTTTTTTTTTTTGACTGGCAGAGTGGACAGTGAGAGAGAGAGAGAGAGAAAAAGGTCTTCCTTTTGCCGTTGGTTCACCCCCAATGGCCGCTGTGACTGGTGCACTGCGGTCGGCGCACCAGGCTGATCCGAAGCCAGGAGCCAGGTGCTTCTCCTGGCCCTGCTTCTGAACCCTGGATGCCATTCAGTGCCACCCACCTCAGGCTACCGAATTGAAGACTTCAGGGTGAGGGCCAGGGGGTGACTGGAGCAGGTTCACCAGCATGGGAGATACTGCCCAGGGCTGTAAAAAATAACCACTAACAGAGGCATACCTTAAAGATAGAATACACACAATCTTAGAGGTAAAGAGGAAAAGGAGGGACTAACTATTCGCTTTGTGAATTTTTTCACTTTACCAAAGAGCAAATTTATCTATCTAGTACATAAAGTGAGACCAATCTATAATTAATTACCAAAACAGGGCTTAAACACCCTTGGTTTCTTACAGTTCATAATGGAGCCCTGGATGGGAGTGAGGAAGTAAAGGCTCCCCTGAACGCTCCCCCAAGAAGAGGATCATTGTGGAGCCTGACTCCACCCTCAAACAGCCCCTCCCCCACTGACCGGGCCCACCCAGCTCCCCTCTCTCTGATTTCAGGCCCTGCACCTTGCTCTAAGGCTGTCCAAGGGGAGAGCAGAACCTGCTCTTTCACATCTTCACTGCCAGCTGGGCTCACCTGTAATCTGGGGATGGCCAAGCACTCGCAGACCCTGGCACTTTCGCTGCGTCCAGGACAAAGTAGCTCAGAGTCCCAAGTCATTAAAGTTGGGTGAGAAGGCAGGAAAAAAAGGGTCCTCATCCTGCCTTCTTTGTGTGATGGCTCTGAGGCAGGGGAGGGTGCACACACACCTCCCACCCTGGCTTCCTGCTGCTTTCCCTTCTCCGGCCACCCCCGTGGTCCGTGATCTAGGCCAGTGCCCATCATAAAGGGTCCGAGTAAAGAAAGCGTACAAAGCAGATCTTGAAGGGCAACCATGAAAACCTGGCTGAGCACATGCTGCAGGTTTACAGCAGCTGAGCACGCGCCATGTAGAGCACAAGTCCCTGCCCCTCTGTCCCGGCCCATTCTCCTCCATCTGGCCAAGGACCCTTGGGAAAGCCCTGTCCTGCATTGAAGTGGACAGTCATTCTAAATTCTGTCACTTTCCAGAAGACTCAGTGGGGACTCAGTCACATTCAGAAGGGGTTAGCTCATGGGGCCGAGGTCTGCTACAGGAGTGTGTTCTGGACCACATGGAACTCCCCACATAGGGTCTGATTTGGAGATCAGCACTGGACAGCCTTCCTGGGGCTGTCGCCTCACTCTGGAGGCTGGCACTCCCTCCTCCCTCTATCACCTCGCGACTCCACTGGGCAGCTGTCAAGCAGGGGAGCAGATGTCCCGGGCAGTGGGAACGGGGAGGCCAGACAAGCATCTGGACGAGCTAGCCGGGTGTCCCTCCTGTCTGCCAAGACCCAGCCCCATGGGGGAGGTGCCGGCATTCAGTGTTCAGGGGAGACACGAAGTTCCCTGGAAAGGGTCTCACCTCTAACACGGAGATCAGGGAATGCCTCTGGGGCGTGTGGGATACGTACACGGTGTTCCCGGAAATCCTTTCTGCCTCAAGGCTGGGTATGAACCGGCAAATCAAAAGCAAGCCTGCAGCCTTTGGGACAGGCTAACTCATGTCTTTATGGAGGAAGAACAGGGGCCAGCAGGAGCTTGACCTCCAGACATGCCAGCAGACAGCTCCCCAGCTGACTCCTGTTCCTGAAATAACACCAGAAGGGGCCAGCAGACCATCCATTTCCGACTCCTCATTTCCACCATGTTGTCCTCGGTGACGCCCAGAACTGATCTACTCCCCACTGCAAACAACCCGAGGACACAGTGAGAAAATGACTGGAAGTCTGGCTGGGCTGAACCCCGCTTTGGACGCACTGGGCTCCTCAGCTCTTCTCCAAGCTCAAGTGAGAGAAAGGGCCCCTCCATTCATGCAGAACCGAGCAAAGTCATTAGCTTAGGTGCCTGGGACGCCAAAGGCAGCACCAGGCCGGTCTCTGGCAGATCATGAGTACTCAAGGGAAGAAGGCAAACGGATGAGAAAGGAAAGAAAAAGAAGAAGAGAAGGCGAGAATGTGGTGGGAGAGAGGGACAGTAGAGGAAGAGAGCAGGAGGGGAACAAAGATGACCAAGAGGAAGGAGGTGGGAAGAGAAGATGGAAGGAAGCAGGGTCCCAGGAAGGAAAGGACAGGAAGGGGAGGGGGTCAGAGGAGCCACAGTGGCTCTAGTGGCCTTCCTCTGTCCCACTGCCTCCTCACCACCCTCGCCCAACCCCGCCCTGCTTGCAGGCAGAAGGTGCAGGCCACTGCACTTACATCCACTCTGTCTAGACTCCATGCCTGGCCTCACCAACCTGAGAGCTTCTGATGACCAGCTGGGGACAGACATGCCACCAGACTTGTGATCCCCATGCTTGTGCCCTGGCTGGGAGTGCTCAGCCCCTGGCTGGAAGGATACTGTAGCGTCTTCATGTAATTCTGGATCGCCTGGAGCCAGTCTGGGATCGTCATCGACAGCCTGTAGTTTGGGACCTGGGGTATTGAGGGCTGTGGGGAAACAGAGAGAAGGAGCTTTTTTTTTTTTTTTTTTTTTAATCAGAGTTGTTCTGGGGCCTATAGCTCCTGGGAGGCAGACATAGGCCTGAAGCCACCAGAGAGCTGCTCCTAAGAGACGGCCAGCCTGGCACGGCCACCTGTTCACATGGTGCCTCCTCCATGAGGTCTCCCCAGAACTGTCCGGTCCCTCATTGAAGTTGTCCCTCTCTGAGCTCTGGGTCACAGTGGTTCTCAAAGGTTCCCCAGGTGTTGTGACTGTGAATAGGCCTATGCCCACCTACACCCATGGGCACCTCCTGGAGGCCAAGCAGCATGTCCTTTAGTGTCCCCATTGCAGCCTACCCAGGATGGACACGGAGGTGCTCTGTTAGCCCTCCCATCTTCACTGCACGACACCATCTTCTTCATGGCTAAAGGTGACTCACTTTACATGCTCACACCAGAGTACAGACGACCAGAATACAAAATGAGTGGAGAACTGTGACAGAGCAGTTGGTACCAATGCCACTCCTGGGTCTTACCCCAAGAGGATTAGGGAAGATTCCTCTTCCTTTATTTTTTAAAGAGAGGGAGAGGCAGAGATAAAGAGAGAACTTTCATTTACTGGTTCACTCCCCAGATGGCCACAATGGCCAGGGCTAAGCCAAGCTGAAGCCAGGAGCCAGGAGCTTCATCCAGGTCTCCTATGAAGGTAGCAGAGGCCCAAGCACTTAGGCCATCCTTCACTGCAATTCCCAGACCATTAGCAGGGAGCTGGATTGGAAGCAGGGCAGCTGGGACTAGAATCAGAGCTCACATAGAATGCATAGAACGCCGGCACCGCAGGTTACGGCTTTACCCGCTGCGCCACAACGTCAGCCCCAGATTGCTCCTCTTGCCTTGACTCTTCCCAGGTAAGTGCAGCTCCCCTAACTTACCAGCCACCTTTCACCTCTTCGTTCCCTTGTCTGCTTCTTGGCCAACACCTCTTGGTCTACAATTGGAGCATATGCAGTTCTAATCCTGGCTGGGTAGGGAAGGAACCACAGGTTGGCAAGGAACTCAGAGCTAAGACCTCCCACTCAGCCCTGAGAAACTCAGCCAAGGAGGCTGAGAGTTAAGAACAAACTTGCGGCTGGCGCCCCGGCTCACTAGGCTAATCCTCCACCTGCAGCGCCGGTGCTCCAGGTTCTAGTCCTGGTTGGGGTGCCGGATTCTGTCCCAGTAGCTCCTCTTCCAGTCCAGCTCTCTGCTGTGGCCCGGGTAGGCAGTGGAGGATGGCCCAGGTGCTTGGGCCCTGCACCCGCATGGGAGACCAGGAGAAAGCTCCTGGCTTCGGATTGGCACAGCGCGCTGACCGTAACAGCCAGTTGGGGGGTGAACTAACGAAGGAAGACCTTTCTCTCTGTCTTACTGTCTAACTCTGCCTGTCAAAAAAAAAAAAAAAAAAAACTCGGGACACCCAGTCAAGTCACTTGCAGGAAGCCACAGATACCAGGCAGGCATGGCTTTGGGTATTTTTGTTGGGTTGGTTTTGTTTTGTGATTGCTTTTCTTTCCTGATTTCCCTTAGATCTTTCTCAATCTCCTGACTCTCTCTGGGGGGATGGAGTGGTGGGCATCAGAGGAACTTGGCCCTGTGGGCCCGGGGCTCCAGCAGCGGGGTTGTGAGGAAGGAGAAAGGAGGCAGCTCCATGCTCAGGGCACTCAGGGAGACGCAGAAAGGGCTGAGGGGCAGATTAGGTCTATCCTCAGGGCAAACAGAGCTGCGGAGGTCCTGGGGATTTAGCGCTTAGCCGAGCTACTGGTGAGTGGACCCAGGGACAGCCCTGGGCAGCCCGAGGATGCTCCCAGCTCTCCACCCCAGCCCCACTGTGAGCTGAGGTCAGTGGGTTCACCCAGTGCTCCCAGCCCTAGGCCACACTGACTGCCAGGACCCCTCGCCACCCTTTCCTGGGGTGCCTCTGCTCTCTCGGCTTGGAGACATCCCACTTTCCAGAAACTGGCCCATCAGCACGGAGCTTGTCACACTTCCCACATCACAGCCAAAGCACTGTGGGTGTGTGTGAATGTGAATGTGTGCACACAGGCACAACTGCTCAGCCAGCTACATTCTGTTTATGACACTTCCACTCAAACAAATCACATTCCTTTCTGGGAGAGTCATTTTGGGAAGCAAAATGTTCCAATTTGAACATTTGCTCATACACACGCACACGCACACACACAGAGTCAGGATACAAGGTGTCTCCTTTGTGCTTGTGTCCTAACAAACATCAGAAGTATCAGGCTCATCCTTAGCCATGGCAGTAACACCCCAGCTGACCCACACCTGCAGTGTAAGGTGAGAAGTGAGCAGAGAGGCAGAGAGCTGGCAAACATTTCCTTAGCATCTCCTGTGCTTCAAGCTCTAGGCCAAGTGCAAAGGGACAGGAAGCACAGGAGCAGAGGAAAGGAGGATGGGATCACAGATTTTTAAGACGTTTCTCTGGGGCCCACGTTGTGTGCTAGCCTCCACCTGTGACACTGGCATCCCGTATGCCCACATGGGCACCTATTTGAGTCCTGGCTGCCCCACTTCCAATCCAGCTCCCTGCTAATGTGCCCGGGAAAGCAGCAGAAGATGGCTCAAGCATTTGGGCCCCTGTACCCACATGGTAGACTCGGATGGGGCTCCAGACTCCCGGCCTCAGCCTGGCCCAGCCACTTCTGGAGAGCGACCCAGCAAATGAAAGATTCTCTCTCTCTGCTTTTCAAATAAATAAAGTATCTTTTTTAAAAAAGACACAATAAGAACAAACATCTCCACATGGAGAGGCACCTGTGCCAATTTAAGAGCTGTTGGCAAGCACGGTGGGGGCCGGCAAGTGAACTCCCAGGCCAGCTGTGCTAGCCAGTGACTTATCCAGCATCTGCTATGGGGCTGACCACCAAATTACTTTAACTGCCCCCAAGCCCTGCAGAGCCCACAAGCGCTGGCTGGCGGGGGTGTGAGTCAGCAGCAGCTGGGCCTCAGAATGGCAGCCCAGCGGCGCCCAGGGGCTTTCACCGACAGCTGCTCGGTCAGCCCTGCCTGCCTGTGAGCAGAGCGCAGAGTGCTGGGCGGACAAATGCAGACATTCCCCAAGTCCAGCCGGGAGTGGGCTGTTGGGGGAGAGGAGCCGAGACTGTGGTGGGATGATGTCATCGGCTGCACCTCACCCGGATGTCTGGGAGCGCTGGCTGGGGTTCCAACAGGGGCAGCTTCCTCCAGCTGCCAGGGTCCCCCTTGAACGCGGCCTGCCAGCCAGGTTGACTCCTGGGGGTGTTAATTACGAGACCAGGTTCAAACTCTTGCTGTGTCACCTCTGCTGTGGACCCTGGTGTAGCTCTGTTTCCTTCCTAATAAAACAGGGAAGCGTCACCTCCAACACTTCACCATGCTAGCTGTGAGGAGCACGAGCTGATGCATAAAGCAGGTGCGTGGCGCTCAGCACAGGGCGGTTGCTAGGTACACGCTGCTGTTACCCATCAACATTAGGTTCTCAGGGGTCTACACTGGCGGAGCTGGAATGGCCTACCCTTGTCCGAAACTGGCAAACAGACACAATAGCAGCCCATGTCCCTGGACACTCAGCTCAGGAGCTGCAAATCATGAAGATGCCTTTGTACCCTAAAGGAAGACAATGAATACATCCTCTCCTCCCAGGGGACATGTGACAACAATGATTTAACATACCTAATTTCCAACCAGTTCACAGAGTAATCAGAAAAATCTTTAGGGTCAGCGTGTGGCATAGAGGTGAAGCCTCTGCCTGAAATGCCAGCATCCCATATGGCTGCTGGTTTGAGCCCCAGCTGCTCCACTTCAGATCCAACTCCCTGCTAATGGACCTGGGAAAGCAGCGGAGGATGGCTGAAGTTAGGGCCCTGCTACCTACATGGGAGATCTGGAGGATGTTCATGGCTCCTGGCTTAGGCTTGGCTCAGCCCTGGTTATTGCCGCCATCTGAGGAGTGAACCAGTAGATGGATATCTCTCCCCTCTCTCTTTCTGTAACTCTTTCAGACAGATGAACAAAAAACTTTAAAAAAAAAAAACTTTAAAAATTCTTTAGGCCTCAATGAAAAACAAATAGTGCTAAAACGTGGAAGCAATCCAAGTATCTACCAATGGATGAATGAATGAAAAAGAAATGTGGCATGAAGTTATACATGTAACAGGATTGTTATTTAGCCTAAAAAAGGAAGGGTACACTTACTTGTCGAAAGTGAAACAAGACAATCATGATTCCCTCACATGAGGTTCCTAGAATTGTCAAATTCATAGAGACAGGAAGTTGGAGTGGTTGGCAGCAGGGAAAAGGAGAATAGGAAGCCAGTGTCTACTGGGTACAAAGTTTCAATGGAGGAAGAGGAGAAAGCCCTGGAGAAAGGTGGTGAAGACAGTGGCAAATCCACGTGGGCAGACTTGATGCCTTAGAACTCTGCTCTCAAAGGCAGCCACAGTGCTAAGTTGTAGGTAATGTACATTTTACAGACACTACAAAGGCTTTGGAAAGACAATTCACAAAAGAAATGCAAACGGAATAAATGTTTGAAAAACAAAAGTTCAAGTTCACTATTCGTTTAAGAAGTGCTGACGAAGGCCACCATACACCATCACTCCTCAGTGACCACTGTAGTGGAGATGTTCTGAAGAGCAGGTGCCCAGAGCTGCACAGATGCCCTCCCAGCACTGACAGGAACACTCATGGTGCAACCTTCTTAGGAAAGGCCCAGGGCACAGCCCCCTCTCTTCTCCCTAACTGGGGACCCAGAAGTCCCTCCTCATGCTCTTCACCTACCAGATTTCACCAATGACTTTCTAAAACTCCAGTGCTGATTGTCCCTGGCCCTCCCCCTCAAGGCTCTCACCTCTTGCCCCCTGCATCCTGCTTTGCAAGCCACAGAGCAGCTGACGCAGGCAGAATCTGAAGGGAACAGACCAAAAGCAACCTCTCCAGACAGACGCTGGGCCTACCACCCGGGGTGG